AAAAAAAAAAAAAAAAAAAAAAAAAGAGCTTCCGGAGTCTTCCCATCTGTCTCCAAGTAAGATCCAGGAACCCCTTATAATGCCTGGCCCCCATCCCCTCTGAGCCCTTCTCCTATCTTCCTCCTCTCTCAGTCCCCACTTCAGCCACACTGACCACCCTGCTGCTTCCTTTTTGTGCCTGTGGCCTCAGCTGCCACACTCATCCCCAGACACTCCCACTGCCTGGGCTGCTGAATGAAGGGATCAGGGCCTGCCTTCTGCCCTCCCCCATCCCCAGGCCAGTTCTACAGCAGCCAAGGATGAAGGCTACATACATCCCCAGAACCAGGAGCAAAACTCGGCAGAAAGAGCTAATGCCTTGCAAGGAGTCCATGGGACGCCCCAGAAGCTGAGTCTGGAGGAAGGGGCTGTGAAGGGAGCCATGTGATGATAGCCCAGGCATCAGGGTTTTTAGAAGTTCCTTGGGAAATACTTATGTGCAACTGGGGTTGAGAATTGCTGCTAAAAAGTAGAGATTCCTGAACCCAGTCCAACAACTAAGCCAGCATCTCTGATGACATCTAATAGCATCCAACAGGACTCAGGAATTTATGCTTTAGTTTAACAAGCTCTCCAGGGATTCTGGTGCTAGCTACTGAAATTTGAGAGCTGCTAGTCTAGAAAATCTCTGAGGTTTCTTCAGCTTTAACTTTCAATGAGGCGACAACAAGGCCATGTGAAGGATGTTTTTTAATTCTTCCATGTGAAATAGCTAAACAAGTTATGTGTCATATATTACTTTAGTCTGGGAAAAAAAAAAAAAACGCTTGAATAAGACTCTCAGTTCCATCATGGCCTGTGTTCCAAGTTTGGAAAAAGACATCCTTACCCGGCTGTCCAGTTCTGGGGGGAATTTGGTCTGGAACTGACAGATGGTCCCGTCACTGTAGTCTCTCTGGACAAAGACCTTGGTGGCCAGCGAGGCACTTCGCCGGAGCTCCTGCAGATTGTGGACCTGAGGAGACGTAGAAAAGACACATGATCAGGGTGACCATCCTTCTAGGTTTGTCCGAGACGGAGGGATTTTGGAGGTGGGTCTTTCAACACTAAAATCAGGGAAGTTCCTGGCAAACAGGACAAGTTGGCCTCCCTACAGGTGCTCCAGGAAGGCCATGAGGAAGCAAGACTGTGGAGTTTACCCCAGGAGGTGCCTCGAGTGATCCAAGAAAACTCTGAGTGAAAATGAGAGATTCTGGAACAAACAGAGCCAGAAACAAATTTTAACAAGAGAAAAAGATTGCCTGGTGGCTGTCCCCGACGCATGTGCTCTCTCTCATGCTCTCTCTCTCTCTCTCTCTCTCTCTCTCTCTC